CAGGCTAAGAAAGCGAACTTGTTCACCATGGAAGCCCCCCAGCCTCACCCCCAGGCATTCAGGACCAGGCTCTTTGGGGAACAAAGAATGCAATGTATGTCCAGGTGAAGAGCTCCTTGGTTGGTCTGAGTCATTAACATGTGCTTTGGGTCCAAGAAACAACACCTTGCCATCCCTGGCCCATCTCTCTCCCAAGGTGCTTCCAACTCTTAATCTTTTCACACCTCAACTCTTGGGAAACCCTCCCTGCTCCAGGCCAGCACCCCAAACCCCCAAGCACAGAACCCCTCTAAGACCTGCATCCAGCTCTGCTGACTTCCAAGAGTCTCTGGGGCAAACACTGGCCTTGCTGCTGAATGTGACCCTGTAGAAGCTGGATAACCTCACTAGGCCTCAGCTCCTTCTGAAAAACGGGATGATAAGATGTTTAGGGAAGTTCAATCTGTTAGTATGTACCTGGCACCCCCCACCAACACTAGAGAAGTATTAACTGCTACTATTATAAACTATCCCAGCCTCCATGTACCTGATCAATCTTGCATCCCACTACACCCCAGCATAAATCTGGCATCACCAGTCCCTATGATGTCCCCAGGTCCCCGGCTTCTGAAACCCAGATGCAGGGACAGTTTCAGCAATACTTGGCCTCCCCTCTCCTTGGCTGGTAGAGACTAGAACAGCACAGGGGTGTGTGCAGGGCATGTCTGCCTGCTTGCAGACTTTCTGCTTCTGGTCACTCGCTACCAGCCATGCCTTCTGCTGCCAGCAAATTCCAACGCTTTCTGAGGTCATGGACGGTAACCCATAATGTCCACCCCTCCGTGATAGTCCTTTGCTCTGTGAATCGCCCCTGTGCCATTCTGGAAGCTTTAGTTGCCATGGCCCTGCCTCTCTATTCACCTCCTAAACTACAGCAAGAGCCCATCTCCAAAAAGAAGCTGCCACAGCTGACCTGGGACCACTGGCAAAGTGGCATGTCCAGAGTCACCGCTGCGTGACATAAGGAAGGTTCCTGATTCCTCTAACAGCAATGCGTTTCCAAACAGACAGATCTATGAGGCACTGTCCAGTTGTGACCCTCAACTCATTACGCACCAATGTGTTATTTTCTCCATCTGTAAAATGGGTCCAACTAGGGTTTAACACCTCAGAGGAGAGGGTTTAATGAGGGACATGTCTGTGAAGTTCTAGGCTCAGCATGACACACCTCATCTCAAAACATCAGCTGGGGTGGCTGGGAGACGATTCAGTTGGTACATTACTTGTGCAAGCAAGAGGACCTGAGTTTAACCCACATAAAAATGCTGGCTATGGTGATACACTCTTGAAATCCCAGCACAGGGGAGGTGGAGACAGGTGAGGCCCTGGGGCTTGCTGGCCAGTCAGTCCACGGCCATACCAATGAGAGACATTCTCAAAGCAGAAAGGGACAGCACCGAAGGATGACACCCAAGGTTTTCCTTTGGTCTCCACATGTTCAACCACATGAACATGTAGACCACATATACAAAGGACATACTGACACACACACACACACACACACACACACACACACACACACACACACACTCTCTCTCTCTCTTTCTCTTACATATTCTCTCTCTCCCTCTCTCTCCTTCTGTCCCTCCCTCCCCCTCTCTTTCTCTCTCTCTCTCTCTCTCTCTCTCTCTCTCTCTCTCTCTGTCTCACTCACACACACACTGTCCTCTCTCTCTCTCTCTCTCTCTCTCTCACACACACACACACACACACACACACACACACACACTCTTAAATTCTCTCACTCTCTCACACACACACAACACTTACATATTGTCTATCACACACTCTTACATAGTCTTTCTCTATCACACACACATACTCCCTCTTACATTCTCAGACACACACAAACACTCTTACACTCTCTCACACACACACACTCTTACATATTCTCTCACTCACACACACACACACTCTTAAATAGTCTCTCTCATACATACACTTACATATTTTCTCTCTCATACACACTCTTAAATATTCTCACACTCATTCTTCTGGTTGTAACAGCAGGAACAGGTGTGTCTCACACACATACACACTCACACTCTCAAACTCACACTCTTTTTTTTTTTTTTTTGGTTTTTCGAGACAGGGTTTCTCTGTGTAGCTTTGTGCCTTTCCTGGAACTCACTCTGAAGCCCAGGCTGGCCTTGAACTCACAGAGATCTGCCTGCCTCTGCCTCCCAAGTGCTGGGATTAAAGGCGTGCACCACCACAGCCCGGCATTTGTACATCTCCAAAATTCATGCCTGACTCCACATTTAACACAGTGAGTGTGCGCGGCAGACAGTATGAAATCTCAGTCACACCATCTAACAGAATTCATTCAATATCTGCAGATGCATCTCATAGAGATGAGCTCTTAAAGAATGAGGACCACGTCATTAAACAAAGGACAGACAGACATCCCTGATCAAGAATCAGGTTTCTTCACCCAAGCTAGTCACCTAACATTTCTGTGAGAGGTTGGGCTGACACATGGGCCGAGCTCTGGTTCTCTGGAAACTGGACTTGAGCCTTAACTCTAACACAGCACCTCAGCCACCAAGTCTGGCAGGCCAGCTGTGCACTCAGTTCTCAGATCTACAGTTTGCCATCACTGGGCTGAGGAACTGCTTCTGGCAAGGGCTTATGCTTGTAAGATTCACTTGGTCAATTGGTCCCCCCAAAATTGTGTGTTTGGGTTCTATTTTTTGTTCTGCTGTGTTGTGCAGTGTTTGTTTCAGCAATACTTTGTATGCCCTGAAGGTCCAAGGAATTGGCTCCCAAAAAGTGCATGCCGTAGGATGACCCAGAAGTTCATCCCACAGCCAGTCCAAAACTTCATCCAAACAAAGGTTGTGTAATAAATGGGGCCCAAACTCAACGCTGTAGAAACACATTCAGATCCTATCTGAATCTGGTCGACTCTCTTGCCTTCCTATGCCTGCACCTCCCTAATTAATCTAATTACCCTGGCAAAGTGAGTAGCTCCCTTGCCCCCCCCTTCTGCAAGATCCAAGGCTAATTGGCCGTTGCAGCCTCTCTCTCTGATGGCCTTAAAATATAGAGGCAATCATAAATGAGAATAACAAAATAAAACCCACCAGGAAGGGACACTAGAATGTTTCATTTTTCCCCTTTGAGACTACCCAGTTTATCTTCTGCAACTCTCAAAAGTCTAAGAAGTTGGTCCTGAAGGCATCCAACTTCCCAGCTGAGGAAACTGGATTCCACAGTTAAATAGCTTCCCAAAAGCCCCAGTGCCAGTAAGGGATCGGTCCAGAGTCTGAATGGCGGCCAGAGCCTTTATGTAAGGCTGACCCAACGTTAGGCTCGTCATCTCAAGACACTGTGAGTTCCTGCCTTATAGACATGCTTAAGCTGTGGCGGTGAGACCACATTTGGGGATGACAAGGAAAGAGCTGGACCATGCAGAGGGCTGAACCAGCTGGCCGCAAGCTCCTGAGTCTGTCACAATGCTGTGCCGAGTTGTGTCTCACCCAGAAGGCCCTTCCAGGTAAGAAGTTCTAAGCTACAAGAAATGAACAGGACCCCTACGTCGGGAAGGAATGCTGACTCCCCAAGCATTTCTGACTGGTTGATTCTCATTAATACCCAGCACCTGATTTACATCAATAGAACAGGCGAACATCACTGCTCCTGCTGAGAGGTGCTCTCCAAGGGACTGGATCAAAAGCATCCACCGTAGCCAGCAGAATTAAGCCTGCTCCTGAGCTTCCTCCTCAACGGGAGCTTGGAGGCGAGTTGCGCCTGTCACACTAATCTCATGAAATTTTTTGCTGCTCTTGACATTGAGTCACCAGGCACTGAATGGGCAAGCACAATGCCGACCAATGTTTTTGTTGTTGTTGCTTCTATTATTTTCTATGCAGCCAGACATGGGGAATTTCCACCTGACAATTCCAGTTTCTCACTTGAGCTGTCCTGCCATCTGTGAACAGCGCACTCAGCGGGGGAGGATGCTGGACCCAGGAGGACTTCTCTCCTCCAAACGGTCAGTTTCCTATCTGTTCAGGGCAAGCTGTTCACCAGAGGGTCTTGCTAGCACTCCACTTAGGCATCAAGGAGAAAACAGCCCACGAGAAGTGAAGCAGTCTGGGAACTGTCAGTTCCTAGGCCTGTATCTACTGCCAGCTTCAAAATCTTTACATAATTTTTTAATGAAACAAGAGGTTTCGCTGAAATTAACAGGACAATGGGAGGGTGAACTAGACAATAACAGCAGACTGGTCTCGCTGAGGAGAACGAGGCTCCACCGTTCTCTGGGTGCCTCCTAGTGGCCGCGAGGCTAAATCCTGGCAGAATGTTCAGTTTTGTGCAAATAAAGAGCCAGACACCCACCGAAAGAGGACGGCAGGCGCCTGCCTACCAACGCAAGTCTAACCCAGCCTGGGGCTCAGACAGCGAGAAGAACGCCTGACTGAAAGCCACAGTGGAGCTCGGCAGGCAAGCGCATGCCACAAAGACTCGCTGGGCTGACTCCTGAGCACTTGGGTGCCACACATAGACGCAGCCTTGCCACTCACCCCCTCACATTCGCACATCTTCAACCTGCGCCCCAAACTACGTCTGGTTTTCATTATCCAGCTTTCCAACTCCTCAGCACGATTCTCCAGCAGCTTTAAAGACAACACAGGCAAGGAGCTACTCTTCGTTTTCTGCTTATTCAACACCCAGCCTGGGGAATATCCACTCGGAAGAAACGCATGAATGAAGCGTGCCTTCTCAGGCTCTTCCTTCATCAGAGAACACCTTTGCAACCACTGCAGCCTGTAAAGCCAAGGACACCTGCGCAATGGCTTTGCAACTTGCCGCAGAATTCATGTACGGCAGTGCAGTTTATTAGGAACACAATTCCCGATCCCCAATTCATTGATAACAGACTTTTTAAGTGATACTGTTGTGTCAACCTGGGCAGTGAACCGGAGAAGCGGGGGGGGGGGGGGGGGGGGGGGGGGGGTACCTAGCTGGCCACATATTTGAAAATTACGAGGGTAAACCTTGCTGACTGCCATCGTTTTCCACAGAGCTATCTCTGTACAACTATAAAATAACACCCGAACGCTATCTGGCCGCTCACCTGCCCTCCCCTGTAGCCACTGGTTAGGTTTATAAGCAACAGTGGGGCCCTAAATAAACCCAAAGTGCACACGAGCAGTCTCCTAGTCAGTTTCTGACTTTGGCCCTAAATGGATTAAAATACATCTGATACACTTTAAAATCAAAGAACCACGTTCATTTCTGCCACACACCACACAAAGCCTTTCTGCAGCCCTCAGTCCCTTTGAACCCAACTCTAGCCACAAGCAGTGTGGATTCCAAGGGCCTGTTCTGAATGACAACAAACCAAAGCTGGGACCATAGGGGCAGCTAGCCAGACCCCTTGAACAGGGCCTGGAAGGCAAGCGAGCCTGCAGCCAGTTAGAGCTGCGTCTGAACGGCCACCCGTGCCCTGGCCATGTCAGTCCTGCCAGAGGCCGGAATGCAAACTGTCAGAAGCAGCTTTCGGTTTTTCCAGGCAGAAGTCCTGTGCAGCAACAGCAGCAGCAGCAGGGTGGTCAAGCTCAGTGAATGATGCAGAGAAGGGGGACAGTGGGTAGATGGGAAAGAAGGGAGGGTCGGGAGCAGCTACGGGGCACAAGACCTGACAGTCCAGCCTCGTGACTAAGGATGAGGGTCTTTTGGAGATGTACAAATAAGGAACTCTTGGGCAAGGTCTGAAGGTGCGTCTGCGGGGGAGACCCCATGTTCCCAAAGCTGCAAAATGTTTGCGAATCCTAAACAACTACTTTGCCAGCTGAGATTAAAAGGGGGAGCCCCAAAATATGTGCAGACAGGATGTAACAAGTGTTTCCAGAGATATACACCTGAGTCATAGGAGCCGAAAGGAAAGTGAGGAGTCTGACTGGGGGGCTACTGCTGAGACCTCTGTTGGTGGAGAAAGGCCGGGTAGTGTGGTGTGCCCAGACCCCACTCGTTCCGCCGCGGAGCTAGCAGGTACCACCCAGGGGGTTCCCCTACTCACCACTCGACCTGAAAACCTCTCGGTGGCTCGCTTGACTTTGCCGTAGGTACCTTTGCCCAGGGTCTCCTGCAGCTCATAGCGATGCTTCAAGTTGTGCTTGTGGTGATGTCGCTTCACCCCGTGCGGCTTCTTGGGCTCCGCTGGGGCTGCAGCCGCCCCGGCCGCCGCCTCCCGCAGAGAGCCCTGCGGCCCCGGCTCCACATCAGGGCCATCCCCTGCCGCAGGCACTGCGGCCCCTTCCATGTCCGAGCGCGGGGCGAGCCGGGCTGGAGAGGGCAGGACCCGGCACAGGGGCTCAGAGCGGTCCCCGCTGAGGGAAACCAGGGTGCGTTCAAGGTCGCCCCCGCAGCATTGCTGAGACAACCGGACCTGGCTCGAGCCGCCGCTGGGTCACTAGCGGCGGCGGAGACTGCACATCTGGCGCCCCGGGCGCGCACGCTCGGCGCACCGCCCCCCGGGCCGGCCGCCGCAATCTGCCGAGCGTCCGGCGAGGTGGCGGCGGTGTCAGGGGAGGCGGTGGTGTTCGCGAGAGGAGGGGAGAGGGTGGCTCCGCGCGCCGGGAGGGGAGTGTTATGTGGGGCGCCGCGCCCCCCGCCCCCGCGCCAGGAGGACGCGCAGACGGGGCGGGACGGGAGGGGAGCGCGGGGCGGGCGCCCGGGTGTCCCCACCTCCGCGTCGGGCCACCGCGCAGGGAGGGGGCGGGGTGCGTGTCGTCGTTTCACCCTTTGTGCGGCGCGGCGCAGGCCCGGGCGGCGGCCAGGGGCGCTTTGTCCTCGCCGGGCGGGGACGGACGGTCCCGGGTGGGGTGGGGAGGGGTCCTCAGTGCGCTCGTCCCCTCCCCGGGCGTCCCGCACTCACCCTCCGCAGCCACTGCGGGCGATCTGCCGCTGGCTTGGGCCCATCGGCCCCGGATAAAGCTCGCGGGGCCCGGAGGCCGCAGAGGCGACTACGCACAGAGCCCGGGTGGCCCAGGCGTACGCGTGGTGGCCCGGGGCTGCACCCTCCCCGGGCCATCCTTCATGTTGGTTATGGTGTCGCGGCGGCCACCAGGCCCGCGAGAGCTGGGGGAGGCCGGGGAAAGGAGGCCCGGCGGTGTTGGGTTACCGGCGGTGAGTCACGGTCCCCTCCCGCTGCCGAGGCCCTGCAGGCCCCTAACTCCGGCCCGGCCAGGGCAGCGCCCTCCTTGGGCAACCGCAGAACCTGGAAAGTCCCCGGGAGGGATGCTTCGGGACCCCGCACCGGGCTCTCTCGGGGAGAAAGGCGGAGTCAGGAACGAAGGGAGGCTCGAAGGAGGAACCCGGGCCTTCTCCCGGGCGCCGGTCTCCCCGTGAGGTCCGGGACAACCTCCAAAGAGGGGAGGAGAGGGGCCTGGATGGAGCTGGGTTCCCTGAGCTGCCTAGCACCAGTGGGAAGGCCCTTTCCGAGATGGACAAACCATGGCTCTGGGATGGACTAGGGCCTGGGCCTGCTGAGCAATTCCTTGCCCAAGCCAGAGGCCACTTGCAGGCCTCTTGACCCCCTCAGGTAATGGGAATTTTCCTTTGACTTAAAAAGGCCGGATCTCACCCCACCAGGTGAAGGTCAAGCAGGAAGGCCTCCCAGCTGCGTCTAGGCTGTAGGGAGGAAAAATAAAACAGGCAGGCCTTAGGAAATTTTTTTAAGTAATTGCATGTAAATTGCAGTGTTCCAGACAGGGTCAGAAGAGCGAACAAGGAAGAGCGACTGGTGTGTCCTGAAAGTCGCCTGACCGCTCTGGTGCTTCCTCTGCGCCTCTCCGGTTCCTCCCGCCCTCCGCATTCCTCCTTCTGTCTTCACTGCTGTCCACTTACATCTTACACTGGACTCAGGCAACAGACTGCCTGCGCGAGCACCCCCCCCCCCCCCAGTCATGGCCTGAAACACACCACGGGACTCATCGCCCCCCCACTCCTCTGCTCCGCTCTGCACTTGATAATCTTTTATTTGTTTGTTTTTGCTTTTCGAGACAGGGTTTCTCTGTGGAGCTTTGCGCCTTTTCTGGGACTCACTTGGTAGCCCAGGCTGGCCTGGAACTCACAGAGATCCGCCTGGCTCTGCCTCCCAAGTGCTGGGATTAAAGGCGTGCGCCACCACCGCCCGGCTCACTTGATAATCTTATCTCCAAACTTCATTGACTTATTTCACTGATGCCTGAAACCCCTCTGCTAGCTGCGGCCTTCCTTTAAAGCACTCAACAAGCGTAAAGGCCATGTTTATTCTGATCTATTCATCCCACCAGCCCTTACAGAATCTCCCTGCCTTCATCCTGAAGCTGTATGCTACTTTTTCAAACAGTCTGTAGACGTGCATGTAGAATGCGAGACAAGTGAGTGGCGTGCAGGTAGAGTCCTGGGTCCCCGTTGAATCGGCTGGGTGACTTTGGTCAAATGACTTAACCTTGTGAACCTTCTTCAGTTTGCTCTTGTTAAAATATGTGTCATTTGGTTTGGTTTGGTTTTCAGGTAAACAGATTGTGTCTGTATTGGTAATTAAAATGACAAGTGTTCTGGTCTCTTCTGTCCCCCCAGGATGTGGTAGGAAACTCTTACCCGGCTCCCTCGAGGTACCATGTGGCCATATAGCTTGTAGGGGTTGATAGAATCAGTGCAAAAATGACCATTCTTCTACCTGGAAGCTTTGACAGCTAGGGAGTAAACTGTCGTGTGCTCTCCTCACCTTGACAAGCTGTGCAGAGAAGGGGCGAGCTGAGACCCTGGACAGCGAACAGAATAGTCCCCAGGACGCCTGAGCTGGCAAGGCAGTGTGAGCAAGCCTCTTGCTGTGTTCAGCCAGTGAGATGATGCGTGTTCGTTACAGTGGCAGAGCCTGTTCTGAGAGCATCACTCAAGTGTAGGCCCTTCGTCCCACCGGCCGAATGGCCAGCACCTGCCACACGCCGGGAACCATTTCACAACTGCAAATGCTGTGGAAGGTAGCTGCTGTAATCTGTTTCCACTTGGGGCAATCATATCAGAAAGGTTTAAAACTTTGCCTAGCATTACTCAGCTTGTACTGAGTAACAGCAGCCCTCCCTGCCCCTGGGAAGGAGGTAAGACCCAACTACAGTGTGCGGCACACAGTGGTGTCTGAGCACTGGCAGCTCCTGCCAAGCCTGGATTCCTGTAGCATTGATCAGTGTGTGTGTGTTTTTTTTATTACATGTACCTATCCTGTATATGTATGTATGCATGTGTGTATACATATGTCAAGATAAGAGGACAGCTTTCAGACGTCAGCTCTCTCCTTCCACCATGTGGCACCGAGGGACCAAACTCTGATCATCAAACTTGATGGCAAGTGCCTTTATCTGCTGAGCCATGGCCAGTCCATGTGTGGTTTATTTTACACAGGACATCTCCTCTAACCAGACCAGGCTCCTTGGTTCAGAGTTTGAGTTCTAGAGTCAAACTAACCGGGTTCAAATCCTGTCCCAACATTCACAGTGACTGTCTTGAACCATTATTTCCTGTGTCACTGCCAGTGGTAACTATGTCCCACACGGTTGGTGTGGGTCTTAAAGGATAGGATACATACTCAGTAGATGATGGCTATTACTGTCAGGCTCACTGTATTTCTTTCAAGCTCCCGCCAGAGTTCTGAGGAATTATCAGCAGTTTGACCATACTGCTTGTCAGCTTCTGGTTCTGTGCTGGATACTAGACAGATGTTGTAACATCTGTACTCACAAAATAAAGTAGCCTAAGGTTCATCACGGGGCCTTTATTACATTTGCTGTTTTCAAAGCAACTTAAAGTGTGTATGTTTGCTTTCTTAAGAAAGCTTTGTTCAGAAAACACAATAATACCAACTATTGTTTATCTCGTGTGTGTGTGTGTGTGTGTGTGTGTGTGTATGTGTGTGTGTGTGTGTGGTATTAGGTATTTGGTATTTCACTGTTGAGAGAAATATCAACAAAGGTTGACTACATTGTGTGCTATCAAACATAACAGTTTAAGTCAGGATTTGAATCCACTCGTCTAACTAAGGCTCCAAGCTGCCTATGGTACAACTCCCATGAGTTGCTATTATTGGTCTATACTGATAGGTGAGGTTTGACACGTTACCTAAGATATGACATTTCTAACGTGGATCTGTGAGCTGATGGACAGCTGACTTGGAAATAGCCACTTGAGAACATGCTTATTCTTCACTATGGCAGAAGAAATCTGTCAACCAGAAATTCATACTCCTCCTTTCTAGACGTTTCTGCCTGGGGTGTGGTGTGTGTGTGTGTGTGTGTGTGTGTGTGTGTGTGTGTGTGTGTGTGTGTGTGTCTCGTTCAAACCATGTCCATGTGATATATATATAATGGTTTAAATAAACTGAACTGTCACCTATGGACTCCCGTGTTTGAACACTTGTTTCTCATCGGGTAGTGCTGTTTGGGGAAGTTGTGGAATCTTAGAGTTGGGCACAGCTGGAGGAAGTGGATCACAGCGGGGAGGATCTGATGATTTATTATAGTCCTGTCCCAGGTGATGTCTGCTTCCAGGTCCCCAGAGCTGTGAGTAATCCCAGCCACAGACTCCCACTGCCATGAACTCTGCCGTGACTTCACCACCACCACCACGGACTGGAGACTTTCAAACTGTGAACCAGAAGAAGTCAGGGTCTCCTTTAAGTTGCTTCTGATTAGAGGCGGTGAGGTTTTATTTATTTATTTAGTATTACTTGTATGAGAGATCTAATTAGAGAAGTATACAACAGTTTTATTAAATGGTACAAAAGACAATCCCTTCAGTAATATCTCCTTCCTACGATGTGCCTGGGGCTGACAGTGAGTTTCTGTCAGACATGGTCCCTCTTCTTCCAGTTACCAGTCCAGAGAAGTGAGGAGTAAACACAGTTACAGCATCCAGCTGACCTCCAGCCACGAAGCTTGGGAGAACTCATGCTATCTGAATATGGGATAGGTACCAGCAAAAATCAATCAGGAATTGATAGCAAAGGCTCAGTTTCTTCCCACCTGCTAAGTGGCCTCTAACCATGGCAACTGGGGGGGGGGGGGCACAGATTTCAGAATCAAAGGCAGCCAAGTTCAAGACCTCCTGCCTGTGTGGTCCTGGGCTGTCTTCTCTTCATGTCTGTTTTCTCATCTTTAAAGTAGAGGCATTTTAAAAGTTTTGGTTGAAGATTCTTACAATGTAGCATGAATCTTAACAGTTCTTATTAATAAAATCAAACCTGGAGCCAAGTATTAGGGTGAAGCTGGAAGATCAGAGAACCAGAACAAGCCACAGCTAACCTCACCTGGCCAACTTCTCAGCTGGTCTTGTTTCCTCAGACTGGAAGCCTCTGTGTCCTCATATCCGAATGGCTCTCAGCTGAACTGTTGCTCCAAAGCCTGAAAGCTTAACCAGCCAAAATGTTTCTAGTTCCTGGTCCTCACGCCTTATATATCTTTCTGCCTTCTACCACCACTCCCTGGGATTAAAGGCCCACTTCTTGGGATTAAAGGCGTGTATCACCATGCCTGTCTCTTTCCAATGTGGCCTTGAACTCACAGAGATCCCAGTTGGATTTCTGCCTCTGGAATGCTAGGATTAAAGGTGTGAGTGCCACCATTTTCTAGTCTCTGTATCTAGTGGCTGTCTGTTCTCTGACCTCAGATAAATTTATTAGGATACACAATATTTTGGGGAACACAATACCACCACATTATAGTTTGACAAGTGTCTCCAAAATATGGGTGTAGAAATGCTTACTCCCCAGTGTGGGACTACTGGCTAGTCCTCTTTAAGATGTGGGGCCTAGTAGGAGGTTTTCCCACACTGGGGGTGCTCATGAACAGAAGTGTGGGCTTCTTGCTCCCTCTGCCCACCTCTATTAGTCATGGAGTGAGCAGTCCCCTGTTCCACTGCATTCCCCCACGGAGGGCCTGTTTCCTTGACACAGGCCCAAAGCAGTTAGAGTTGATCAGTCATGGAAATGAAACCTCCAGAATCGTGAGCCTACATAAACTTTTAAGTTCATAATCACATGGATTTGTTGCAATAACAGAAAGCAGATTACAGGAACCATGAGTTAGTGCAGAAAACAGAAGGCAGTAAGAACAGTAAGACCCAGGCAGCAGCATGGACTAAATGTCAGATGTAAATATGCTCTGCTGCCTTCCCAGTGAGATTACAGTTTGTACATGCAAACATACACGACAAGGTCTGTTCATGGGACTGACTGGGGGTGGGAGGCGATGCAGAGAGTTACCTAATCCAAAAGTCCAAAGTCAGAACCTTTATGTGTCCATAAGGACAGTAGCCTAGTGCACAGGAAGAGAATCCCACAGCGGATGCTCTGGGCCATGCACAAGATTAGCTAAATGTTTACATGATCAGGTCCTATGTGTAAAGTTCCATGAAACAAGTGGATGTCCTGTCTACACTTGGGTCCTAGCCTCAAGATATCTTGTCATGCATATGCAAATATTCCACAATCTAAAATAATAAAAATAAAAATCTGCAACACTCACTCCTGGTCCCAAGCACGCCTAATGAGAGGTAAAAGTCTGCAAAACAATTGGGGTAATGCAAGCATTCTAACAAAATCACTCAGACTAGCATATGACCCCCCAGTGCTGACAGTCCTCAGTCCTTCAGAGTTGACGTTCCTTGTACACGGCCATTTCCCTCAGCTCCTTGTGCGTGTGGGAAGGGGTGAGGCAAGGGGTTGAATGCCCTCTGTCTTTCCCTTTCTTCAACTTTATACTGAAAAATAGGAGCACTCCTCTCAAGAAAAGGGAAATGGACATGTGTTGAATCCCCCGCACTGAGCACACCAGAGCAGACAATACCCATGCCACACCAGGAAGAGTAGCAGCCAGCGGGAAAGCGGAGAAGTTGAATAGGCATTCAAGGATGTGCCGGACTGTGTGGGAGGAAATGGCAGATAACTGCAATAAACAGGCCTGGGGATTTACTGAGGCTGAAGGGGCTTGGGAAGGCGGGGTAAAGGAAAGCAGATAAGGATGATGTGGAACAGGGAAGCTTCAAAGACAAAGGCATTGGACAGTCTCAGTATCTTGGTGAAGAGCCTTAAAGGCCAATGGACTGGTATGAGCAAAGGCCCTAAGGCAGAAATATCCTTGGCATGATCTAGGATGGAATGCAATGGGAGGAAATGGTAGGAGTTAAGTCCAGAGAGGGGACAGTGGATAGCATCCCTGGGGCCTTGTGGAATGACGTTAGCACTTTGGATTTTATTCTCTCAGGCAGACAGCCACTGCCGATTCTGATTTCAGCCACACCACCTCCTTCCACCAAAGCACCTCACATTCCAGGGCACTTCTCCATGACATGTGCCTTGTGGTCTTTGCACATGCTGCACTCAGTTCTGGGAAATGCCTCCTGCCCTGCCCTGTCCTCTCAATGACAAGCCCCTACTCATCTCAGAGACCTGGCAGAAGATGTCACCTCTCTGATCCTGCACTGGACAGAAATAAGGCTTGGTTCTCTGTCCCCAGAGCATTCAGTTCCAGGGTCTGTTATAGCCGTTAGCTCATGACATTCCAATGATCCATTGTGTGCCGGCCTGGCTGCCCCCAGCTGCCTCCTGCTCTGGAATGAGCAGGTGTAGTAAAGCCCTGCCCAACAGAAATTCAGTGTGAGCCACATACAGGAATCCAGGCTTTCCAGACGTCACATCAAAAGACAAAAGAAACACGTTTTAATAATGTGTCTGATATTAGCAGATATGTCAAAGCATTGCTTAAATATTTAATTTATTAAAATGACTCACTGATGAAATAATTTACATTCTTTTTTATGCTGTCTTCTAAAACTGATTGTGTGCACCAAGCTCACTTCAGGGCTAGTGTTCAGTGGTTACGCTGGGATATGTATGACACTGTCAAAGCAATGAAATTTCATTTAACCGAAAAAGTTAGGGCTGCTTCTGGTTTGCTTGTTTCATTTAAACTTTAGCTCATTGTATAGATTGTTAAGTTATTGCTTCATGTAGCCAACATTTCAAGGATTCAATGGCCTTACGTAGCTAGTTGTTACTAGACACCAAAGTACAGACCTACATCTTATTCATATCTGCAGCAGGGGTATAGATCTGACTAGTACTCATTGGTTACCTTACAAACATGGATGGATGGATGGATGGATGAATGGATGGATGGATGGATGGATGGATGGATGGATGGATGGGAGGGTGGGTGGATGGATGGGTGGGAGGGTGGGTGGGTGGATGGATGAGTGGGTGGATGGATGGGTGGATGGATGAGTGGGTGCTGTGTGGGTGGATGGATGGGAATGATGCATATATTGGTAGATGGAGTTGAATAACAAGAAGGAGTAGATGAATTTGTTTTATTTCCTTCCTAAAGTATTACTCAATTTCCTCTCCTGGAAATGCATAACCCAAGAAAAGAAGTGAAGATGAACCCTGGGAAAGATGAATCCATAGAAATGGGAGCCGGGTGGTGGTGGCGCACGCCTTTAATCCCAGCACTCGGAAGGCAGAGCCAGGCGAATCTCTGTGAGTTCAAGGCCAGCCTGGGCTACAGAGTAAGTTCCAGGACAAAGAAATCTTCATTAGGTTGTAACCTGATCATTTGGCCCACTGGACAGTTTATCAGCAGCTGGGTTGTGTCCTCTGATCCACTCGACTCAGCGACCTAGCCTCCCCAGATGTCACCTTTTTGTTCCTCCCGGTCCCCCTGAGGCAGTGTCCCCACCCTCTCTCCACCATCCCCACCCTCTCTCCACCGTCCCCATGTCCTGCCTCCTCCGATGCTGTGTTCTTCACTGTTGAACTTCCTACCGGGTGCTCCATCGCTCCCGTCGCTTATCTGCCCCCTGGCTGCTCACCGGGATTTTGACCGCATTACTCCACATGAACCCCTGGTGGCTGGTACATAGCACACGCTCAATAATAGTTTGGGGAATAAACAGAGGAGTGAATGATGGTTTGAGTTTCTGTCACTTGTTCTATGATCCAGGAAGTGGCTGGACTTCAAATTTCCTCTCCATAAAATAGCTGTAGTATGTCCTAGGGGTGGCCTGAGAGAATCCTATAGGGGTCATAACCACCTTAAGAGACTAATTAAGATAATGCCTAGGAAGTGCATAATAACTGTGTGGTGAGCACGGACAAAATAGTAGTTGTCATTACTACTATTTACACAACAGACTTATTATTAGATTCTTCTACCAGATCCATGACCACCACGTGAAACAGTGACAATTTCCCAAGTAGTTCTGTTCCAAACAAACAAAAAAGTAGGTCAGGAAAAAATAGGCTCAGCTGTGGCTTTGCTCCACACTTGCCTGTGTTTGTGTACCTGTGCTGTGTCTGTTTGTGTTTGTTAACCCTGGGAGACAGGTTAGTCAGCCCCAACG